ATACTGCAGAGAATAGGTGGAGATTGATCCCATGTGGCGCCATTTCAAGTGCGTGGATTAAAGTGTGTAAGTGTACTGAGTCATCTCAGCCCCATGGAGTTGCATTAAATCTGTCTCTAAAGGTTTCACATGGACGAAGCAGATACACCACGCCGCCGCCACAGGGGACATCCAACACCCATGAACGAGCTCTCCATGATTGGTGTGAGGAAGAATCTGCCGGCCAATTGACAACGAGGTCACGCTGGGTCACGGAGAGTTTCCGATCTGACAATTTGATATTCCATCCAACAGAGGTACAACGTAGTTTAAAAAAGCTCTTATCTTTCTCTTTGATGCTGACTGTAATGCTAGTGCGTTTTTGATCAATAAAAATACAATGAAAGCTTTATTTGGTAAAGCACTTTTTAAATACACACGAAGCTCAAGCGCCACATCTATTTAGTTTAGATTCCAATAAGATTTCAAGGAGTTGAAAGAAGCAGAGAAATACAAAGACAATATATAAGTCAAGTACATCCAAAAATTTCCACAAAAATAAATTGTCTTGTGTTTGTTCTAAAAGGTTAAAAAGACACAGACAAAATGATATAAATACACATCAATTAAAAGCTAATCTCAAAAACGACATGTTTTCATAGTAGTCTTCAGATATCCCACACCTCTACATACTACTTTCATGGTATGTTGCTCCACTGTTTGGTACGGACGGAAGCTGCTTCACCATCTTATTCTTTGGGGTTATCTCCTGTCATCAGGCGTTGTGATGGCGTGTTGGACTGGGAGCTGTCACCCACCGGCAGCCTCTGGCAGACCTGGGCTACTTCCTGATGGCCTCACTACTGGCCCTCCAGCTGAAGAAATCATCAGCACGCTGGGGCAGCTTTGAAGGAATAGCAAGGTGAGGAGAGAACAACCCCAACAAGTTGTCAGGATATGGGAAACGACTCAATAAATGGATCAAACCTGGGATCAAACATTTTTGTGCAGAGTATCACAAAATGTGGCGACCTTGATCTCCATTTACTGCGCGCTGCGAAGGATCCTTCTGTCTTTGCCAGAGTTTGAATTTCAACCTGAGCCTTGTCGGTGTTTTAAATGGGCAGGAGATCGCTCAGGTTTGTACCCCGTTTATAGTTTCTCCTGCAAGGGTTTCTTATAACAGTAATGCCAACCTTGATATCCATTACTTTTGGATTACTCATATATCGAATGCAATCTAAATAAAGACAAGTGAACAGACTATCAATATGCTCGTTTCAGTTTAACACACACAGTGAAGCTCACACACACTGTTTTATGAAGCATATAGGTTCACTGCTGACATTAAAACAGACGCGAACACCATGAAGCAAAGAAGTGAAACCATGATTGAGCAGACTAGGAAGTAGAAGATTAGATTCACACTGAAAGTATTATCCTACAGAACAGAACAGCTGACAGAGAAGAGATAACATCTGATGCTTTACAACAAACACTATGCTGTTTTATATTTTTAATAACACTGTAATCCTGCTAGTTATCCCCATTCTTTAAAGAAATGTAACAGAAATGTAATTTGTTCCTTTATCCCCATGTTATCTCTCAGGGCATCTATGCACGCCACCTACTGGGCAATGCGAGCGCTGCCAATGCAGAGGAGTTCGGCCAGTGTGTGGAGCCGTTGGCTCAGACTGCCCTGCAGCTTGCTCAGAGGTTGGTCGGCTGCTTGAGTTGCGTGACAAAGTTCCTGTTGTTGTTTTAATACGGGCTTTAACACATCACTCCATGATTACTTTCAGAAGACGCTCTGACTCATATCGCCTTTGCTAGATTTACTTTAAAGGTCTCCTATTATACTGTTTTTCATTAATATAGTATAGGTGTCGGATATATACAAAACCTGTCTTTGAAGTGTTTGCCTCCAATCACCAAACAGATCATTGCAGCATTACCCATAATCCCCTCTGTTTCAGCCCTGTTTCCAAAGTGCTGATTCTCTGTCTGTTACTTTAGATGAAAATAAGGAGCCCCTCCCCACGCCCCTCTGAGAGACATTTGGTTACAAAGAACTCAATGGAGCTCTAGGAGGAGATTCAGGTGATAAGGGGGTTACCTGGTTGTTGATTGGCTAATGGTTACTCNTGTGTCCAGCGAAAGGTATTCATTGCACTTGACAGAGATCCCTTCTGCTGGCCGCTGAAGCGCAGAATGTGACCTAAATAAAAGGCCCTCGCGGTGAAACACAGCAGCGTGTTTGTGACACAGCTGTCTGCACGCTGCACTAAAGCTGAAAAGCCCAAGTTGGGTCACGCTGGCTTTGTGCCTGCTAGCCACACACACACACACACAGTTACACACACGCTGACATACAAACACATAGTGTATCTGACAGGCTACATATCCAGGCTGGGTTGTGATGCTGCGAGCGAATAGAGATGAGTTTATCAGGAGGGAGAAGAGGGTCTGTCAGGTTCAGAAAACAGAGACATGACAGCAGCTCATAGACAGCTGTGGGGACGTGTTATCCTCCATCGTAGCTCACTGACCCAGTTGTGTCTCTACCTGTCCGGTCAACGCAACCTCAAAGCAGCAACAACTGAACCAGGCCTAGGGATTGCATGTGTTCAGGATACAGAAAAAAGGTGAGTGTGTTCCCGTCGGACAATCTGTTAAGCTGCACAACTAAGGGTTAACCGTCAGAGCTAACCTGCACTGAACATTCATCTTAATAATATCTCACAAGACTTCCACCACACTGCTACCTGCACATTTACATGTAACCTTTAAACATATGTATATATGTACATTCACCTTTCTTTTTTTTTTTTTTACATCTTGTGTATTATCTGCGTTTCTGTCTTTTTCTGTCGGTGCAATAACGGAGTAATATGGGTATAAAAAAGGTATAATATTGATGTTATTTGAGTGTAAAAAAAGGTGTAATATCGGTGAAATAATGTTGTTGTAATAACACTGTGATATGGGTGTACTAATGGTGCAATATGGGTGTAATTTTGGTGTAATAACAGTCATTTGGGTGAAAATGTGGGTTTAATAATATATAAACAAATAGATCCACAAATGGACAATGCATTTCTGGAGTGCAAGCTGAAAAATAAGTTATATATATATATATACATATTTTGAAGAAAGATACATTAGAAAATAGAATTAATTTCCTTGTTATTTATACGTGCTTGAAAGACTTTTTTTCACAGCACAACAAGTAAAAACACAACTTGTATTTACTTCCTGTAAACAGGCAGAAAACCCTGAGGCATCATTTCATTGAAAGCCTTTCTGTTCCGAACAGCAAGGTGTCCCAACAAAACGCAGGAGTAGATAAACCACGCCAGGCTCTGAATGCTAATGCCCGTTAACACCTGCACTGCAGACCAGATAAATGGAAATAGATTTTTCCTCCTCTCCTTTTCTCCTTTTTTCTCCTCTCACACAGCTTCCTCTCAGCGGGCAAATCTACCCTTCATTTTCCTTACTGCAAATAAACAAAGGTTGTATGGAAATGAAACATTGACTACCAGTAAGCAGCAAAGGGATGAAATCAATATGCTTTAATGTGAGAATGCTGCAGCTTCACGAAGATTACAGGAGGTGTTCGGAGGCCACGAGGCTACAAGGAGTCTCTCCTTTACTGCTCAAACGTGGCAATGATTTATCCAAAAGGTTGGAAACATTACTCTCCACAGGGCCTCAAATCACCTTTAGTGAATACATACAAGTATTAAAGGGACCCCATTAGGCTCATTTTTTAGGTTCATATTTGTATTTTGTGCCTCTACTCAGTAGTTCTGAAAAATTATTGATTCGAAAATAATATGATACAGTATATTACGTCTGGGTCTCTGTGTTTCATTAAAGCTCGGCTCTGTGTGTTTGTGGAACGAGCCATTTGTGTGCGTGCGAGCGAGAGAGAAGAGAGAGAGCGCACCGGTACCGGAGATCATTGTTGTTAGCTTCTGGTGCTAGCGAGCTACGCTAACGGATATAAGGAGTTTTTTCAACAACAAAGTGGAGGAGAGTCCTCTCCTGTCAGACTGAGAGGCTCAGTGAGCTAAAGGACTCTCAGTGTTATCTCAGTGGGTCTCAAACCTTTTGGTCACCATTAATGTAAACAATTGTTTCCGAGGCACACGTTTATATGATCATTATAGTTATAAAAAAATAAGAGAATAAATTAAAAACAGGTATGAAATACTATATGACAGTAAAACAAGAATAAAGTTTAAAAGGGTGATTTGTAATAATATCCATAAAGAAAAAGTAAATCTGTTTACAGTTGTGTTTCAAATGGGTGTTGAGAGATGTATCCATAGATCTCTTTATTTTGCTCTCAAAGTGCACCAGATTGATGCTTTTAACTTCAATATTTAAAAATCTTCCCAGGGGAGCTTGCCCCCTGACCCCCCTATGTGAGGTCCACACACCACCTATAAAAATAGCACTTTACCCCTGCGTACAACTATATGCCGTGAGCTGATTATCGAGCCTTCATTGTAACAGTCCCGGGTACACTGTGTGTGTGCGTGGGGATTGTTGCAGTAGAAAATTCCACTGTAGCGACCGGTACATTAATGGGAAACCCTAAATGTTTGAGCACCCTCTATGAAACGTCAAGCTACCCCACAGCACCCCCAA